TGTAACATCATACAATGACAACACGCTTCCTGCTGACCAGACTCTGAAGAAAAGTCCATCAGACTTTGCTAATCCATTTGACACTCTGGGTCAATCTATTGAGGTAAGAGACTCACAAATCTTTCTTCTGGTTCCTACAATTTTTGTTGTGTTTCTTTTTCTTTAAATTTATTCGTAAGACCGTTGTTTATGTCTTTATCTTGCACAGGTAGTATTGTCGTTTACTATGAATTGCTTATCACATGATGAAAACTTTCATTCAGAAATACCGTACAGCATGTTGATGTCGACTATTTTTCTGTTTTTCTTTACTTATCGTGTAACTTACATCTTAGTTTGTTATTTGCGTGTGCTATTTTACGTGATTTTGTATATTGTTGTTATGTGTTTTTCTGGGTCCTTGTGTCAAAAAGATTTAATGAAATAACTCACTCTTTAGCAAACTATACCGTATAAAACAATGCGGACTTTTGCCATGGTTAACTTATTGTAATTGTTTGTTTTTATCAAAATAACTGATTTACTATTGAAGAGCACGTGGCTGCGCGTATAGCAGAAACACATTTTGTATCTTTGCGTGGTTGGTCCTGCCAAATCTCAAATTAACTTTCTTTGGTGCTGAAATATTCCCCAGGGCCCCAGAGACCCACTCACTGTAATTGTTCTCTCTCTCTCTCTCTCCCTCTCTCTGTCTCCCTATCTTTCCCTCTCTCTCCAGCGCACTCTCTCTATAGTTGTGCTCTTTCATTTAAATCGACGTAATTTCTAGTAATTGTCTGCGACCATTGATATTATTAATAATATTGATAATAAATATAATAGACATTCGTGTTGTTACTTACTAAATTATTTTTATTTTTATTTTGCCGAGCTCAGCTCTGAATATGAAGTAGTCGGGTATACCATTTTACATTTGAGTGATTTTTAACCTGGTATTAGCGTAGGTAAAACAGTCTTAACAGAATTTTCTGTCAGGTTTATCTATGTGACCTTCAAAATAATAGCAATATCTACATACAACAGTTTGTTTTTCATTTCTTCTTCCTTTGACAACGATGAAGAAACATTAGCTTAATTGTATCTAGAACGTTCGGCCCGCAAATCAAATGCTTTTCAGTTCAGTTGTGTTCTTTGAACGAAGAACACAAGATGTGTTATATGATGAGCCTGTTTATAGTTTATGTGCCTGAGGTAAACGAATGACATTTTATCACATACAGCAGATGTGTGTAGACATTTCTTGTTTGCCACTATATACACTCGTTAATTGCTTGTAGTTACAAACTGATTATAAAATGGTTACTGGGGAGGTACTTGTTACTGTTGTTCATGCACAAGTGGTATGATGTTCCTTGTCATCAGTAAATCGTGAAACACATTTTTTTTTTCTTTTAGTTAGCGTTCGACGATTTCTAGTAGTTTTGGTGTTTTCAATAAGCTTGTGTTTTGAAACACCAATTCAAAGTTTATTTAACGATAAGTGAACATGACTTGTGTTTTCAGACATCGACAAACATATGTAATCACCTACTGTGAGGATAAAAGGCAACTCGTGGTGTCGCTGTTGGCTGATAGCACACTGACACACACACCACTCCACCCACTGCTACTACACAGATGTCGACTGTAATTCCCTGAGAACCAGTTACATTTGCAGACATGTTTCTCCGTGTTTCATCGTGATACTACACTTTGGATTGTTGAATCGTTTACGAATCACGTTGTTGTTTTTGCTTTGGAAAGTGCATCAGAAGCACTGCGGTCACGTTTTTGTATCAGGATGGGAGACAAAGGATTTTCAGGGTTAAGATTGATTCTCCGCTCTGCTTTGTTTGTTGTAACGCTAAGCCTGGTTTATGGGGACCTGAGTTACTCTATTCCAGAAGAAATGAAACAAGACTATGTCATTGGAAACGTCGCGAAGGACCTCGGTGTTAATTTTGGAACCTTAGCTTCACGACAAGCCCGTGTTGATTTTGAAGGATCTCGGAAAAGGTACTGTGACATTAACATGAGAACCGGAGATTTAATCACATCGGAGAGAATTGACAGGGAAAGCCTTTGCGGGAAGAAACCTTCTTGTGTTTTAAAAGTAGATTTGGTGTTAGAAAATCCTTTGGAGCTTCACCATGTAAGTCTGCATATTCAAGATGTGAACGACAATGCACCGCAATTTAACGAAAATTTGATAAGAATGGAAATAAGCGAGTCAGCAGAGAAGGGTAACCGCTTCTCAATTGAAGAGGCCCATGACGCAGATATTGGTCAAAATGGAGTGCAAAGATACAGCCTACATAAGAACGACAACTTTATTCTGGCTGTTGATAGCAATAGAGTTGAACTTGTTCTACAGAATAAACTTGATCGAGAGAAACAAAAGGAGATTAATTTACTCCTCACAGCTTTGGA